TGCCCTGAAATACATGCGAGGGGTGGATGACGTTTTTGCTCCATACAAAAACATCATGGAAGAGATGAAAAAGAGACGACAACTCCCCATCACCATGTTCTTTGATCGCCAAAGGAGAGATACAACACCATCAATCACTGGCGGCAGTGAGGAAGCAGCTGAACCCACCGTCGCCCCCACTTCACCACCCGTTATGGAAACGAGCGACAATGACCCCCCTCCTGTCGCCGAGGATAGGTACGGTACAATAAAGTGAAATTTTTATTTCTTTTTTTATAGCTTTTCTTGCCATGTTTATTGTTTGTAAAAATGCACAGCACAGTACAGTTCAGTACTGTACATAGGAAGTGGAGGTGCAGTTATTCACAAAACATTTGTGTTTGGTGTCGGCAGTAGTGACGATGTGGAGACGTAAGGATAGAGCGGGGACAAGTGGTGGCGCTCTGGAGGCGGGAGCAGGGACGAGTGGAGATGCCAGACAGTACATTATTAATTGTTTTTATAGCTCTTTTGCATTTTAATATTAAATAAAGTGTTTGTAAACATGTACATAGTGTTTTTCTTTACTTAAATAAGGACATGGGGGGGCCAGGGGTGTTTTTAGGGGGGGCAGCAAAAATATGCGGATTCTTAATATTCACGGGTATCTCTGTTACCTAACCCCCGCGTATGTTAAGGGCCGACTGTACCTTCCATAAGAATCTTCACTTCGGTAAACGAAATTGTTACGAAATCATGTCAACATGTTTTCGCTTGCTCACCAGCTGGAATATTAGTCCGCCAATACAGTAATCGGTTCTAGGGCTTAAATTCGTTCCCATTTGAGTAAATATCAAGAAGGTTGTACTAAATAATATTCCAAGTTTTATATTAAATTTTTTAGTCATTTTAACACTTATTTAACATAATTGCAGTACAGGAAACTAGTTTTTGGTGTGCCCAACAGCCACTTGACTCACCCAGCAAGGCATCAGTTCATATCTCTGGTCAGTGGAGGTAACATCTTGCTTGTGGCTCTCTTGAACATAAACTATTTTTACGTTTTTACAGTACAATTATTGGTCACTCTGAAATTTATTTTACATATTGACAATATATAGTGCAGTGCAGTGTTGATTTAAAGAAAATAATCTTGAATTACATCTAGTGAGATTAAAATTTTATGGGTGAAATGACAGCATGAAGCCTGGGGTGATTTCTCTTCCACCCCCACTTCCTTCTCTTCTCCCTTCTCCTCCACCCCTTCTCCCTTCTCCTCCACCCCCACTTCTAATTCCCATCATCATCATCATCAACCAGGAGCCTTCTACATACACACCTCAAAGTAAGTGTACTTTACTGCATTTATTTTTACTTTGTATGTAATTTTCGGTGAGCTGGAACCAAATACCCAAAATCCAATGAAACAATGGTTTCGGTTAACGAAATTTTTGGTCAACGAACGACCTTCTGGAACGAATTGTGTTCGTTAATCGAGGGACCACTGTAATAAGAATAATACAAATAATGAAGGACCAATGATAAATAAAAGAAATATAAAGGTCAATAGTTAGAAACAATATACAGTATGTATGTCTGTGTTAACAAAGTAAGAGAAACAATTGAAACCCTACAACTGTGTGTAAATGAGGCAGAAAGTCTGTTCAGCAACCTGGGACTTGGTCAAAATTTTTGTGGTGCCATATGACAGCAGGGTCTACCATTAGACAACACATTATGCTTCCAATATCTTCACAGGCGATAGTACCTCCCTCATGTTGATAGATGACTGCTACCTGCTACCAGTAACTTAAAAAAAATAAAATGCTATTGCCAAACAAGTAAATAAAAGTCAAATGAAAGTTTAACACAGTCGCCATTTGCATACACCCCTTGCTTCACCATAGTAACGAAGATCAGCTGGGATGCCGATTCCCTAGCAACGCTCCCCACTAGCTACACTCTGCACTCCTCCCATTACCTGTTTGCCCTGAGGACAATTATTTACTTTACCATTTTTCACCGTATGTATGTACAGTAGGATGGTGTATACATGTAACTGAGTAAAAATAGAAGAAGAAAGTTACGTAGTATATCTACCCAAAAATACGAGTTGAAAAAACCATAACACCTCGCAGCTTGGCCCAGTAGCCTGGTGGCTACAATGATGAGCTAACCTAGCTACAATGACATGATTAATCACTATTATACACTATTCTATCAGTAAACACTAATAATAACATTAAATCCAGGGAAATATGGCAGGGAACAAGGAGAGTTACAACTGCAAACTACTTGCTAACTAGAAGTTACTTACTCCCCATTCCCGTTGCCAGATGTATATATTGGAGAAATAAATGACCTTTTCTCTCTTCACTTGTTTGGGCACCTTCCTGGAGCTGGATGAAGGTGGTTGGGGCATTTGGGAGCCATCACAAGTACAAGAAGCACAGTTGTTAAGAGAGCAGAGTAACACACATGCGAGACGGACAAGTGTTTAACCCGAACTGTTTGCAAGGCGGAGTGAGCGCATATGGCCCAGCCACCTGGGACAAGTGAAACACCTTGTGGGATGCCATAAAACTCGTGGGCTCCTCCGTCTTGACCGTGAAAATGCCGCCAACTTTAAAACTACCTGCAGACATTCTTGGGTACAGCCAGGGTGTCATCCGCGAATAATTGTAAGGGCATCCTGTACTCAACACATAGTTTACTCTTTTTATGACTTGTTTGTGAGGTCTTTACAACCACAGTATATACCCATTGTGTGCCCTTCAGAGACACTATACTTTACTGGATATACTAAAATTAAATATTCCTGAAGAGGAGACCATTTAGACAGCTTTACTTGGGGGTGGTGTAGGAGCAGTTAGATGCCATTTTTTACTGTGGCAGAGAGGACCTTTGTTAGCATTTGGGGAGTCACTTCTTGTTTGTCTTACTCCAGAAAGTTTAAGCAATTCCTTTAAGTATTTATTCGAATAACTTGTACTGTACAGTAAGAACCCTCTAAGTCAGACTTTTGTAAGTCAGAAATGCCCATAAGTCAGACAAGCTCTGGCTAAGGAGGTGTTCTGTGGGGTGGCAGTTGGGAGAGAAGTCAGTTCCCACTTGTTTGTTGTTGTGACCACTGCTCCTCTGCACACTGTTTTTGTATTGTATTAATGCTTCCCTGGTGTATTATTATGTCCTCTAAATCAAGTAAAGACATAACAACAACACTGAGGATCAATGGGAGAAAAAGGAATGGTGCTCAGAACTCTACTAATTGAAAAGAAACTGGAAAATGAGACAAAATTGATGCTGGGATCTCCATGAATGTTATTTGTGAGGAGTTTGGGCTAAAGTGGAGTACTTTTTATGGCATCAACCAGATACAAGTGTAACTAAATACTGTATAAGTAACTAAATGTAAAGTGCAACACAATGTAAGTGAATACAGGTACAGTATTGTAAGTAGCCCCTCATTGTCCTCCACCTCAAAATTCATATGCTACAACAAAAGTACGGAGTACAGTAAACCCCCGCTTTACGCGGTTTCACTTTACGTGTTTCCACGTTTACGCGGTACCCTGCCGAAACCGGAATGCTCACTTTCCGCGGTGTGTGTACCCTTTTACGTGGAGATCGGCGCGAGCAGGGTGCGCACAAGGTTGCCCAGTCATCAAAACATTACCGAGTTCTTCACCCGCCACCCACCACAGCCGGCCCAAGTCAGTGATAGTGATAATGATAGTGAGGATATGGACTTATATGGACTTTGAGGGGTTTGACAAAGAGGCCCTGCAAGCCTCTGTGGTGGATAGTGATACAAGTGATACAAGTGATACAGGTGAGGGCCAATAATCTGCCCTCTGCCTCGGAACCAACCCCCCATCCCCGTGTGCCCAGCCATCTTTTCTACTAATGTAAGTGTTAAAAAACCTAATATTATTGATATTTCTCTTAATTATTAATTGTGTGTGCATACCTTCATAAAATTAAGAAGTTATTTTTACTACAACGTAGGTATTGTGTCTGAAAAAGTGGAGTTTGGGGGTCGGCCCGATCTCTATTTCATTTAATCCCATATGTTATGTTGTTCACTTTACGCGTTTCTCACTTTACACGGGCCGCCGTGGGTTCAATTAACCGCGTAAAGTGAGGGTTCACTGTACAGTAAATGCAGTGTAAAAGTATACTGTTAAGTTTAATATTGTTGTTGGAAGGGATTTTCAGCAAAATGGTGGTTGAAAGCACCTAGGTGGAGGTTACACACGAGTTGGAATTCTAGCTAAGTTAGGCAGTCTCAAGCCCCATATAGTCCGACTTAGAGAGGTCTTACTGGTAATTACCAGTAATAGATATTCACACTTGCTATTATAAAACAAAACATCAGTGTTCCAGAGTACAGTATAGAAATATTTTTGTGAGTATGCGGTAAGTGTTTTCTCTACAGTATAAAAGGCAGGGTACTGTAACAAAAGTTTTATTCACCTTTAGATTACCTTTATTACAAATTTACAAATACTTTAAGGAAAAATCAATATTTCATAATAGTTTAAGGAACAGTGGCAGGCAGGGCATAAACACTGTTAATTGTCTTCACCTGAAATACAATAAATTGCATTTTACTGTTACAGTATTTATAAAAATAACATTGTATTATTGATAGCAATGGACAGTGATAGGAAGATAGTTGAGCCATAAAATTAAAAGGATTAATAATATACCAAAATATGATTGGAACATAATAATTTTCAGCAAGTGTGGCAAGAAGTGACAGGCTATGGCTCCAGAGGCAGATAAGTAGGCACATGTTGCACTACGGATATTGGCTACTTGTTATGTACTGTACCTAGGTTAAGACGCCATATTAAATCATCTCGCCAGTTGGTCATTCCTTGCCTGACACTTATAATGTACAGTAGTTTGTAGATTGTAATTTGGATGCAAGTTTGGTTACATATTTTCTTGTTCTGAGACACTTAAGGTATGTTTTGGTTTGTGTAATTTCCTGTGTTATTTGGGTGTATTTCCAGATAGAAAAGATAAGTGTAGTGGGTCTGATACGTGATGTAGAAGTATCAAGTGTCAGTAGAACCTACACCATCGATGACACTACAGCAGTTATGAATGTGATACAGTGGGAAGATCTTGGCATGGTGAGTTAACCTTGACATTTATATCTATACGTTATTAATTAAGCCACCATCATCATCATCACCACCACCACCATCATCATCATCATCATCACCACCACCATCATCACCACCACCACCACCACCACCACCACCATCATCATCATCATCATCATCATCATCATCATCATCATCATCATCATCATCATTGTATTACAGCAATTATCCATGCTTATTTGTGTTAGCTGTGATTACCTGATGGCAGTTCTCCATGGTGGTGTCTTGCAGCCTTTCTCATCAAGTTTTTCTTATCTCTGAGGTCATTTCTCACAAGCTCTTCCCATGTCATTCTTGTCCGACACTTGACTCCTCTCCTCCACATTCAAACTCATGTATCTAATAACCCAGTTGGTCTCCTCCATTCTCTCTACATGCCTGAACCATGTCAGCCTACCTCTTTGCAAAATTCAATCACCCTCTTAGCTCTGAATCTCTATTTATGTCACATTGCACATCCACCTCACCTTTCTCACGTCAGCTTTCCTACATATGACACCTTTAACTGTCCATGTTTCACTACCATACAACATCACATTTCTCATGGCAGTTGCATATATCTTTCCCTTCATGCCAATGGAAGGGTCTCTTACTGTCAGTAAAACCATCAGCTTCCTAAACATCAGATTCTTAGAACTGAGCTAGCTTCAGCACCACCTGCAGTACCTATCATGTAACAGTATTGAGCTTCTCCATCCTTGCTAAGGCCACATGGTTACCTGCACCTCCCAATCAGAGTACCGTCCACATATCTGAGGGTTAGTGATCACAGTCCTTCACTCTAGATGTTCTCAGGCTGTTTTTACCAATCCTCCTACCCTCTAATTTGCCCATTGATATTTCCGTTCTTATCCCCTCATCCCTCTTTATATGACCAAACCATCTCATTTTTATTTTTCTGTACATTTCAAGTACTACAGTATAGTTTATTTCTTGAAGTTTCTGCTAATCTTCGTACTTCATTTGTTTTTCTGTCAGTGTAGCTTATTCTTAGCATTTGCATATAACACCACATTTCAAAGGCCTTCAACCTCTTTCTGGTGTCTGCTGAAAGTGTCCACACTTCTGATCCATACATCAGTCCTTGCCATATAAACCCTTTCAGCAGCCTTTTTCTCAAAGTGAAAGTAACGTCTTTTCATTCGGCCATTTAGATTATTAAATGCTATTTTTTACCTGCCCTATTATCGTTTTCATTTCTTTCATACATTACCATCTCTCCTAATGTTACTTCACAAATACTGTACACAAAATTTTTCCACATGTTTAGGTTACCTGTTGCCTGCCATAATTTTTATTTTTAGGATTTATTTCCAATTTGGAAACAACCTTTACTTTCGTCTTTACAGCATTAACTCTAAACCATAATTTTCCACTTTTTTCACTAATCTGTTACAGGACACTTAAAATCAGCAACATCCCTTAGTCTGCTGTGTACACCACTTCATGTGTATCCATCTTCCACACCTACTGCACATTACTGAGTGTCAACCAACATCTTAAAGACAGCATATGGCCATTTTCCACCACAAGTTTTTCACCCTAAATAATTCTTTTGTAGTTGCCTGACCATAGTTATTGCCTCTACAAACACTGGACCTAGGACATTATGAGGAACTAAAAATTCCACAGCAATGATTTCACTGTAACATTCGGATTGTCATTCTTATATCAAAACCTGGGACAAAAACATTGTTACTTTGAAATTTCAAAAACCGAAGCATTGTAAATTTGGGACTGCCTGTAGCTGTGATTAATTTAAGGAAAAATGTGTGTGTATTTTCTCTTGTTTCCAGCCACCCTGCATTACTATGTATTGTTGAGTTAATATTAGTACAGTATAACTTCAGATATCCGGTATTTAACCATCTGGAGCTTTCAAGCAACTGGCATTTTTTGATGGGGTCAATTTCCAGTAAGTAATATCTTAATACATTTTAAAAAATCAAGGAAATCGGTTTGAAATTGGTACTGCTTCGCCTGTGGTTCCATTTCTGGTCACTGGAGGCGCGAAGTGTGTCCTCCATGTTTGTGCCAGTGTAACTGCTATCATCACCTCATCCATTCAGCATACTCTTTTATTCCTTTTATAATATATTTACTATGCCCTTTTATTCCTTTATAATATTTATTATGACGATGTTCTTCAGTTTGAGATGTGTATTTATAAGAGTAACTATCTAGCATTCGGAAAACGATTATCTGGCCCGCTCAATTCCCCATGCATACCGGATATCTGAGGTTTTACCGTACTGTATATGACTTGTGTAAGTTGTATATAATTAAGTTCAGGTTAGTATTCAGTATATGACTTGTGTGTAGTTATGTTCAGGTTAGTATATAAGACTTGGATCATTGCATGTACATTTTTACTTGCCTTACAGTGTGACCCATTGATGGAGATGACTTATTGCCAACTGGTTGGGACTCTACGCACCCAGCAGGGAAAACGTAATTTAATAGTACTGTCCATAAGGCCCCTCACAGATATCAACTACATCACCAAACACATTCTAGAAGTGATACATTTTCCACTCATGATCAAACAGGTTGAGACCCTGGTAAGTAGTTTATTTTCTTCAGTGGAATTTATCTTTGTACATTGTAACATTTATAAAGATTGGGTATTGCAGAATAATATTGTAATACAAACGTCTAACAAGATTATGTTTGGCAAATTTGGTAGAGACTGTAACCTTAGGCTGGGGTATTGCGTGTTTGTTATATCTGTTTGTTTAACTTAACCCCTTCACTATGGGGATGCCACTTTTAATATTTTTCTTGGCTGATGCCAGACGATTTTATTCGGGACAGAAGGGATCTTGTAAACAAGTGGCTATTATCATCTCCAATAGTTAATCAGATTTGACATTCTATGAAACCTGACATAACAGTTTTGAGGAATAGTAGGTGTACACTCGGTAAAAAAAAATCTTTACAATTCTTGTGTGAAACAAAATGACACCCCGAACTAAGATTTTTCATAAGGGCCTATGAGGCATACTGTTATTTACTAATCATATTGCAACGAGACAACATAATTGTTCAGTTCCAAATGCATCAGACCCCTCCTGAAAGATACTTTTTTTTTTACCGAGTCTATACTGTACTCATATTATAATATGGATCATGTCTCTTGATTGCAAGGAGTTTAGTTGAGAGACAGACATTTCATAGACATGTAGTATTATCCTTTAGCCTAAATTAAGATGAGATTGGACATTCAAAGCTCATGAAAGTTGAAATTATGGCTCTAGTCTCTATGAGCCTTACCATAGGGTGAGATCCACTGTCATTCCTCTATTCATGTAATTAGTATACTAGAGAGTGTGTGATAATAATAATAACAATAATTAACGGTCTATTGAAAGAGCATGGCAACCGGAAGGCTGAAAATATACACTTACATAATTGGGGAATGGTCTCTTGATTTACAAATAATATACAAGTAACATAAGTGATGCAAATATGATATATAATAATTAGGTGGGGAGAAGCTCAATCTACAGGGCATTTCAACATAGTGACAGTGCAAAAAGTAAGATTGACTGGGAGTGAATACATTGGTTGATTACAAGTTATTGATAATTTTTACAATGGTTGGGACTGGGCTGTTCTTATAGCGATCAGTTCATGCTCGTATGGGCTGGATGCGGTTGTGGTGTCGAACAACAATTCTTGGACGAGGGATCTCGGGTGGTAGTAGGAGCCGGTGTCGAGGATGGTGCAGAAGCTTCTCACCAAATTTGCAGATGAGGTTGTGGTGACGGTCAGTGAGAGCCGAGAGGGTCAATGTGTTGAGTGCTTCTTGATATGTGGAGTAGGAAGGGGAGAGAATGATCTTGCATGCCCTCTTTTGAACTTTTTCTAGGTGTTTATGTTGTGTGGCATTTAGGGAAGAAGACCAGGTAGGGGAGGCATAGGTGAGCTTGGGAAGTATGAATGTTGAGTAAACGCTGAGGAGCTCGGGTGCAGGAACTCCGAGGGACTTGAGTCGGCGGAGGAGGTGGAGGCGGAAACTGGAGGATTTGACAACTTCACTGACGTGTGGTTTCCAATTTCGTTTGTTGTTTATGGTGACGCCGAGGAGCTTCGTGGAATCTACAACCTGGAGTGTCTTGGGACCTAAAGTAATGGAAGGGGGTGGGACAACGTCGGAGGAGAGGTTGATGTGCATAACCATGGTCTTGGTATGGTTGATGGTGACGTGGTTGTTGGTGGCCCAGTTTTGGAGACTTCAGTAAATCGTGAATGGCGATATGTGTGCGTGCGTGCGTTCATTCGTGCGTTTGTTTATGCTTGCATGTTCACTGCTGGTCTCAAATATTCTGACTCGATATGTTTGATGGTGTATTTTAAAAATAATAAGTTTTGCTTCTTTCAGAATGATGCAAATGCAAGGAAAAACGCAGAGTCCAACAGTAAGGGGATAATGTCAAACTCCTTGGTCGGAGCTTCTGGTTTGGGTGGAGTGTCTGGAGGAAGTTTCTCTGGCTTACAAGGACTTACTGGACAACAAAACATGGTGTTACAGTTTATCAGTAATAGTCAGGATGAAGCAGGACCTTCTAGAAGTGATATTTACACTCTTCTTAAGGGAAAAATTGGTAATCAACAAGTTGAGTGAGTATCCATATCTTATTACAGTATGTACTTTTATGCTCCTAACCCCAGCAAACAAGTAGGATATAGAATTCAATGTTTTTATTCTTTTTTCTTTTTTTTCATAAGAATATAACATCAACTCATCCATCAGTTTTCAACAGATTTTTGCACTTGATAAAGTATTCAACACAGGATGTGGATGGGTATTGTGTATGAAACCAATATACTTATGTATGTCTGTAGTAATGAGTGCTACTGTCTGTCACACCTACAGGGCCAGGAAGATATGTTATTTTTAAATAACTTCCAATATTTCTTCCTGGGGAAAAAATCAATATGGTACAACAATTATCATTTCAGCTTGCTCAACCCTGTGTGTCATCCTCTTTAACTGATCATGTTTCATTGTCGTACAACATCATATTTCTTATGATGTTCGATACATCTTTACTTTCACATGAAGAGAAGGTCTTTGTGGTGTTGATATAGGTAGCAGCTCCCTAAACTTCTTTCAGACACTTCTGATTCTTGCAGCTGAACTTGATTGTTTTAGCATTGCTTCTAGCACTAATCATGTCACCCAGGTACCCCATGTACCTCAAAAAAAAATAAAAATAAATGAAACATGTCATGAAAGGTAAATTATTTTTTTATGAAATTGAAGATATAAGATGTAGAAGCCATAAAAACAATCTAATTTTTTTTATTCATCATGAATGGCAAATTATGAGTCTATGAAATTTAGATAGTAATTGTCGTATTGCTGAGCGCTAGTGGTTGTTGTGATGCAAGAGGTGGTTTTGGTGATAAACGATGTGGTTATAATTGTGCAAAGTGGGTGGTAAACTATTACATAGCTAGGTTGTGGTGGTGTAGGTGTGGGTGAGGGGCCACTGTGGGCAGGAGAACTGTGATGAAGCTTAAATTATTCCAGATCATTCAAGGATGATGATAGCAGGTTCATTTGAGGCTCTACCAGCCTTGTATTTCTCTATAGTGTGTCTACCAATCATCGACTTTCCATTCTTAGTGTGATTATTGGTGTACAGCCTTAAATTCATGGCGCCAAATACCAGTCATCTTAAGATGAAGATGGCATGATTTGGGTAAATAATTTAAGATGGTAGCAGTTAACCCACTGGGCATCAATCACTGATATAACAATAATTGTCAGCTGGCTCCGATTACAGATATGTATGTGATGAAATATTACTAGTGCAGGTACCTCATGGCATTGCATGCAGTACAAAGTACAGCATGCCCCTCAAATTCGTGGGGGTTAGGTTCTCCAAATGGCCGTGAATCGCCAAATCCTTGAATAACATTTGCTGACGGGGGGAGGGGTAAACTTTTACTTGTGTACAAATAAATGTATATTCCCTTATGTGTTTGCCCTTAGGACAATTATTTCTTTTAACTGTATTGTATATGTGTGTGTGTCTACACACACACAAAACACATACAAATAAATAATAATGAGAAAATCCTCTCTCAAATAATCAGAAACAAATTTACATCTCCTCCCCGACTTACGACGGAGTTAGGGACCCAAATCCTCGTTGTAAGTTGAAAATACTTAAATAATACAGAAAATTTAAAATGGGTGTCTCTTTTTCTTCTCAGCACCACAAAACTCTCACTTTTAAGCTTGCCAACCATTTTAAAGTGAATTTCAAACGAAAATTTTGTCTGTGTACTGACGTTAGGACTCGAAAATACGTAATTTGACAAAATTTTGGTACGACCGAGGCAGGTCATAAGTGAGGGTGGTCGTAAGTCGAGTAGGTCGTAAGTCGGGGAGGAGCTGTATTAAAAATGTGACGGTCTACCCTCAAATCTACTCCGTGCTTTATTGATAACAAAGCATGGCATAGACTTGAGGGTAGCAAGGGAACAACATTGTACAATGGCAGTAGAATATGAACTAAGCAGTCCAAACAGCTGGGCCACCCACATGCCTGGCATGTGGGGACAAGTTGGAGCATGATGTAGTCTCTCGGAATGCCCTGAAAATTTATTCTCAGGCCCTTAACAGAGTGATTTGGAGAGACTTTCCACAACTTTTTTCAGAATTTCCTGAACAAAATTCAGAGCAAATTTAAATTTTGGCTATTGGAGAGTTCTGGCGAAGAGGGATTCCAGCTAACCGTGATATTATTATCTATCTATAGATAGATAGATATAGATGGGGTCACACTGGAAAATGATTGGAAACCCTTGGTCTAGAAGAAGCTATGAAATTAATAGAAGTACTAATCTTAAATTTTGAACTGTCTGTTTCAACACATAAACCAGGTATTAGCATTGGCAAGTGTAAATCTAAATTGCATGATTACAAATTTGTTTTATTTCTTCTATATCCTTACCTTCATAGTGATAGCCTGATAGGAATGCTAACATGATGTTTTATAAGTTCTTAATCCTGCATCTCACAGTACAAGAGTAATATTGTCACCACGATACAGCCAAATATAATTTCACACAAAATTATTTTTTTCACAATTTGGATATCAAATGGTTCAAATCTGAGTGTTCCACTTGTTAATTGTTTATAACTTGAGCCCTGGTTACATGACATCATCTACTATAGTGCGTTTTTTCTCAGCTGAGAAAAGATGCCCCGCCCCTTCCTCAAGAGTTACAGCTGATTGGTTGTTGCAAACCTGTCCAATTTTGTCCTGAAGTAATGATGTATTTCTAAACGAGTTAATTCATAATCGTTGGGATGACCGTTACTAACGAGAAAGATATTTATCTAAATTATATAAAGATACATACATTCATTATTTTAAAACAAAGTACAGTGGGGTATGCTATAACGAATCTAATTGGTTCTAGAACCTTGTTCGTTATAGGATTAATCTGTTCCAGGCCCCCAAATACAACCACTTACACTGAAAAATATAATATAAAATTGTAAAAATTTAAAAAAAAGTGCATAAATATGTATCTAAACCCCTGAAATAAAGAATATCATTAATACTTGTAATAAAAAAACAATAAATTAGTAAAAAAAAAATGTAAATTTAAATAATGTTCGTTGTAGGAGTTTCGTTCGTTATAGCATTCTCAATTTTATAGGTAAAACCGTTCGTTATAGGAATATTCGTAGTAGGATCCGTTCGTTATAGCATACCCCACTGTACGTAGGAAGTTTATCAGAAGTATTATACATGAATTAACTGTTAAACTCTGGTAGCAAATTCACACTTTTGGAGGATGCATTTAATGTGAGGCGCTCCGCTATAGAAGGGAGTGAAGCGCCAAATATAAAAAGCACAGAAAGCGCATTTAAAGTTTTTCGAAGCTGAAACAACCATAACTTTGTTGTTTTTTAAACTAGAGGGTTTTATTTGTTTTATCATGCAACTCAATCCCTCTCTTAGCAAACTGGGAAAACTGGAAGTTGGTACTGTGAAAGGTTATTATTTTATTGCGAGTTAATGAGAATAACTACCTGTGATGTACAGTTGTTTGATCTTTAAACCAACAATAATTGTGTTTTTCTGCAAAATTTCTTTTTTTTTTAAGCTAATACTGTAAAACAAGTTAATGATCACCAAAAACAACACTCGTCTGACACCCACACCCCCATAAACTTCCCAACCCCCCCAAATTAAATAATAATAAAAAACTCATTTGCCTACAAGTATTTATCTTTCCGTCCCTATTATTAGCCAAAGATTTGTAATATTGTTAAGTATAATAGTGTGTAATAATAAGGAACACCACTACACTCATCCCCCCACCATTACCCCCCCACCCCCCAACGTAATTAACATACGAATACAGAGGCGGAGAAAGTTTGCATAATCTTTAGTCAATACAGTATTATGATAATACTATAACAATCTTACTTTGTTTAGTTCCTTCGTTTTATTATCCCTGACGATCGTGGTAAGTTGAAGTTACGTAAATCCTGAGGAGTGCGTATAACTTTAATGGCCTCGTCATAATCAATCACGTACTGATCAAAGTCTTTCTCTGCCCTCTCTAAAATTTGCCACACAGATTCTTCATCAACTAAATCATTGATTACTGATGCCGGTAACAGTTCGGTTCATTATAAGACTGAGTTATGGGCTCACTTTCACTAGCATTCGTTGGATCAGGCTCACTTTCATCACTCTCAATGTCAAAGCATGTCTCGTCACTGTCCACTTTTACCTACTCACAGTCTGTATGTTCTTGTTGTGATACATTCGTGTCACTTTGTGTTACTAGTAGACTCACTTTCATCATTTTCATCTTCACTTTCATTGTCATTATTGCCGTCAGTGCATGTCACGTAACTCTGTACCGAAACACAGTCTGCAAAAAGGTCTTGTGATGCATAGCAGTCACTTTTTGTATAATGAGTATACCAAAATCACTATCGCTATCACTGAGCATTCCTGGGGTGTCCATGTAAGTACTGTCGCCGCTAAACACATGCTCAGGAATAATGGGCTCCTGAACCTACACCAGAAGGCCTGGCCTCACTCGAGTCTTGCTTTAATATCAGGCAGATTTTGCACAGCACTTTTCACACCCGTGGAACACAAATAATGTCAATGTTACGCCGAAAACCTTTCAAAAATGGCAGTAGAAAGTACACTGAACCTCCTTATGTTAAACAAGGAGGCAGCATCTGGGCGTGTGGATTGGCCGGGGGGGTTGTGACGTAGCAAGGGGAAATCCAGTGTGATTGGCTGCCGAAGGGGGTTTGGTCCGAGGGAGGTGCATTGCCATTGGCTGTCGCTCCTCTCACTCTGATCGGGATGTAGCCACATTTCATTGACTGAGCGCACAGTCAAATACGTAGCTCCTGGTCTGAGGCGAAATGACACCCTATTTTTGAAGGACTTTCTGCCATATTTCTATTCTAATCTAGAGGGTTACATCCAACGCCAACATGTAGAGGAAGGGTAAAAGTAGTGATAGCCATAAAAAGACGCATTTTGCCCAGGGTGACACTTCATCCCCTTCTAATGCTGAGCGCCTCATATATACTTATTTTTACCCACAATAAGGCATACTAAGACAAATTACGTATCGGTAATACTATATTATGCAAAAACTAACATTTTGAAAGATCAGATCACATTGAAATATTTACACGGCCGTCAGCAGAGGCGGGAAATGTGAAGTCGTTTGCAGTCATATTTCCCGCCTCTGCTGACGGTCTTGTAAATATTTCAATGCGATTCTGATAATTCAAAATGTTAGTTTTTGCATAATATAGTACTATTACTGATACGTAATTTGTCTTAGTATGCCTTATTGTGGGTAAAAATAAGTATATATTAAATGCATCCTCCAAAAGTGTGAATTTGCTACCAGAGTTTAACAGTTAATTCATGTATAATACTTCTGATAAACTTCCTATGTACTTATGTTTAAAATAATGAATGTATGTATCTTTACATAATTTAGCTTAATATCTTTCCCATCAGAAACGGTCATCCCAACGATTATGAATAAACTCATTTAGAAATGCATCATTTCTTCAGGACAAAATTGGACAGGTTTGCAACAGCCAATCAGCTGTAACTCTTGAGGAGGGGCGGGGGCATCTTTTCTCAGCTGAGAAAATATGCACTATAGCTGCTCCCCAGTAATAATTGTGTGTGTGTTTTTTTCTTCAGATGACTGCACATGTAACAGTTATATTTCATTTTCAGTAAAATGCTGGATTTCCTGAGCAATGAGGGCCACATCTACACAACCATTGATGATGACCACTTCAAGTCAACTGAAGGCTAAATCCAGATACAATATTATTTTGCTGTCTTGTGGTCCTCTGGAATGATGAGTCTGGTTTATATTGCAGATATTTCCATATATTAAGTACTGTATCTGCTAAAAAAGGTCCTAAATGTATTTTTGTTATAAAGAAAGGGCATCCTTTTCTTGCATTTTTTCAGCCTTACAAGCCATCTGGTGTATTGTAAATTGCCCACAACCAAGAGCAAAAATGCTCTTCTTTTATTTGTCATCATTCACCCACTTTTACTGCAGTAACATCCTCATATACCACTTCTGTAGCACCACTACTTCCTAGATGTCCTTCATTTGTAGTGTGCATTTGATCTTCCTCTCCCTCCCACTACAGTATGTTTCTGGATTGTACAGCATTTGTTTTATTTCCATATTTCCTTATACAGTGATAATCCAGTACTATATATAATTGTTTCTAGTTACTAATACTCATAGTTACAGTAAAGCTGCGGTCACACTAGAGTTTTTACCCAGAATGAATCCACCGTAGCATTGATTTTTCAATTAACTCCTCAAGTTGTCAATACAGCGACAACTTATTTGTTGTCGAAACCGAGACGATACAGAGCATCTGAAAACCCACGGTACTCTGGGTTGAAATTTGCTATAGAGAGTCTATTGTATTAATATAATTTACACACTTCTTATTTTTTATTATTAATGTTAAAATGTACAAAAAATATGAAAAGTGTATTTCAATAACAAAATATGAACAAAAATGCCAGTAAATAAAAAATACCAAAAATAAGAATACATCACGATTGAAATTTCATTTGACTTTAAGAATATCTTGTGTCATTTTGTAAACAAACATCATTTGGACGCTACAATTGTTTCTTTTTCGTCTTGGTCTTTAACAGCACCACACATCTCACTAAAGCAGTTAATGCTGCCATAGAAACATACAACGAAGCCATCCTGCTCTCCAAGTGAGCTCAAACTAGCCACGCAAGCTGGCGCCTGACCAATGGTTCCAATCGCCAGTTTGACCAGAAAACTCTAGTGTCACTGTAGCTTAAGACCTCGCAAAGTCAGACTATATGAGGCTCAAGCTAGCCCGGCATGTTAAGCCAGCCCCCACCGTCCATGCTGGCAATTGCTATCACAAGAGAGTGAGGCAGGGAACAGCTTCCATCATGGCTCATAATTCCCAAGATCATCTATGCCTCCCCTGCCTGGTCTTCCTCCCTAAATGCCACTCAAGAGAAACACCAAGAAAAAGTGCAGAAGAGGGCAAGCAAGATTATTCTCTCCCCGTCCTACTCCACATATCAAAAAGCGCTCAACACACTGACCCTCTCGGCTCTCTCTGACTATCACCATGACCTCACCTCTTGTCTGCAAATTTGGTGAGAAGCTTCTGCACCATCCTGGACAACGGCTCCTGCTTCCACCCAAGTTTACTTGTCTGCGAATTGCTTCTCGGCATCACAACTGCATCCAGCCCATCGAGTATGTACTGATCGCTAGAAGAACAGCCCTGTCCCAACCACTGCAAAAATTATCAACAACTTGTAATCAACCAGTGTGTTTACTCCCAGCCAATCTTACCTTTTTGCACTGTTACTATGTTGAAATGCCCTGTAGTATGACCTCCCACCTAGTTATTATTTGTCATATTTGTATCACATGTTACTTGAATATTATTTGTCAAGCAAGTCATCCATTCCCCAATTATGTAACTATATTTTCAGCTTTCTGGCTGCCGTGCTCATTTAATAAACCGTTAATTATTATTATTATTAGTTAGAAAATTGCTGAATGGCAACTAAGTATTTTTTTTCTTTTCTTTTATTTATTATTATAATTGTTATTTATTTTTCACACTCACTGGTACTACACTATTTATTATTTTATGTATAAAGAATAAGTTCTAACACACAATCATCCTCTGGGCAAGTGACATGTTCAACTGCTTAGCCTGGCACTCACCAAGGACGGACAGAACCTCCCACACATCCTACACGTGTTATACCCCCCCTAAAGGTAATGTACCAAAGTTAAGCAGTATTATATTAATGTTTTCTTGTGTTAGGTAGTAAATTAGAGTACTGTAGTCGTGTTCTGTTTATCATTAGTTAGATAGGTTTTGTTCTTGTTTGCGAACCAGTTTCATGTTTTTGGGGTATATGATATTGGGAGATTTTTGTCATTGGGGAACTGAACCTTAGTTTTCCCAAATGTTCTTTTATTTGAAATACTGTATGAAAATTTAGTTAACGATTTTGTTAACCTAACTCATTCATATCTTCAGGGATATTTTCCTACTTTGTTATGGGCTAATGTACACAGTGGTAGGATAGTGAATGTGGGACCATGGCAGTACAGGTAGATAACATTACCTGTACAGTTCAGTCTTACAGTATCAGTGCTAAGTGTAAAAATATCTTTACTGGTGAATAATAGGTAAATCAGTGCTCATCTATAGTAAACTTCAAGACATAAAATGATCAGGGTAAAATGAATCTGTTTTTGTACTTCCGCTTAATATTATAAAAATACAGTACAGTATACACAGGTTTTTTATGGGGATTAACTCACCCGGGAACAGGTCACTGACCCACACCGGGGCCTCAGGGTCAAAAATATAATTATAATAATAATAAAAATTACAATGAAAAAATAATAATAATAAAGAACTGTAAATACAAAACTATAAAAAGAAGGTCAATAGTGAGAAACAATTGAGACCCTGCAATTGTGTGTAAATGAGGCAGAAAGTCAGATCAGCAACCTGGGATTTGGTCACATATGGCAGCAGGGTCTAACATTAGACAATATATTATGCTTCCAATATCTTCCCAGGCAGCAGTACCGCCCTGTTTGTTACAATAGTATGGCATACATTATAATTTTGGTAGAATACAATTACCTGTACTGTACTTAGTATACACAACTGTAGTTTATAATAACAATAGTACAGTATACACAATTATCATGGTAGTATACAATAACAGTTACAGGAAGCTTAGAAAATGTAAGAGTCTCCAAATGGCAATGTCGCAGTAGTAGTATCACTATTTATAAATGAATGGGTTGTGTAATGACGGACGTGATTGGTGGATAGGTTTGCTATAGGTCCGTATAGGTTGGCTGTTTGGGGACACGGGTTACCACAGGGGTGTTGGAACACATTTCTGCAACTGTACCAGATTACTTTATGATGGAGTTGCTAGAAAAATGCTAAGCAGCCTGTGCTTGAATAATAGTATGGTAACAGTAATAACGTTACATCCTTACAGGATCTTTCGTGTACCCCTGTACTTTTATTTGTCTGTTTACAAACAAATATGGATACAGGTTGTCGGACCTCACCAATGCAGGATGCTTGGGACCAGACTGGTTTCGGATTAGTGAAAACTCTGCGCCATCGTAGCTGAGGTTAAAAAAAAAGGTAAAATGATACATAAAATATACTATTACTGGTACAGTACCAATACAACTTGCATCAGCATAAATCTAGCCCAGGCTTACTGGACCTCTTTATGACAAATGTTAGTGCTATGGCACAAGTTTACTCTACTGTGACACAGAAATAAGTAGATTAGCAGAAAAGCAGACAAAATTGTATATTATAGGCCTACTGATACCTGTCCCAAACCATCGAAGCTGCCGGACTATCGGGTCACGGGTTAGCGGTGTCCAACCTGTACAATATTTTTTGGTGATGACTGAAGGTAATATTAAAAATGAAAGGAAGATATAAGTGAGTATAAGTACAGTACACCAAGAATCTTCATTGCATTCTTGGCACAAACCAGAGAAGGTTGCTTTGACTTGTACAACAACTGGCTCATGAAAAGAATCTTAATTACGAGATCGCTAAACCTCTAGGCAGAAGATTAAAAAGAATTTGTGTATTTGATAAAATAAGTACAATAGATGTAAATGTGTGAAACAACAGTAAAGGAGCTCATAGACTCATACTTGGGCACTGTATCTGTGAATGACTGCCCAGTACAGTATAGTACTGTACAGTACTTGTGTTATATTAGTAACACAAAATTTTCCATCAGCCAGTAGTAGATATCTGTCAACTAATCGTATTATTTCACTCAGTTAAGATTGATAAATTTGGTAATGATGTAGAGGTGACAGTCATATTTGTTGTTGATTTATAGAATGTACTGTATGTTCCAATATACTGCCAGATTCTGGGGTCACTAAATCTAAGGGGATAACTTAACTCTAATCTTAATTTCTAAGGGTCGCTGCCACCAGACCCCCTCTGGACAGCATGTAGCTCGTTAGGTAGCGGGCAGAGTGGACTAGGCATTGGGTTAGGTTTTCCATTGATCAGATCGATAAGGGTAAAGAAGGGTGAAACCATAACATGTCATCATTGATTTATTTCTTATAAAACACACTGGTAAAAAAACACATACAACCACACCGTGGACCATAATTCCAAGGCCTGTCCCAGGGTATAGCACTGGTGCCTCTAATAACTGCTGTTGTGGTCGGTTACACTCCGACCCGAGATGGGTCTGGGGTCCTCGGCCCACGAGGTAGAGTAGAGCCGATTAATCATGCCGAATCAGCGCCATCACTCCTATATTGACCACTGCTGGGTATCCACCGGCTCCGAGCGACCGGTGGGTTTCAATTAAGCCCACCCTCGATCTGGAGACAAACGGGAATCAGCGTCAGGGAACGAGAAACATGACAACACCAACAAACTCTCTTGTCTAGACGACAGACATATTTACGTTATATTACTTCTACACTGGGTGAATGACAATTCAACTGTTAAATCATGAACACTGGTGAACACTGATAATCACTACAATTGACTGAATTAACTGAATGGCTAGGAAACACAGAACATACCTGGAGACAAACGGGAATCAGCGTCCGGGGACGCTCTCCCTTGACGCTTGAGTTTATATACCCCTGAGTTGCCAGTGATCGCTACTCACGCAATGACAATAATCACAAACAAACTAACTGTTACTCATTCAAAGATGACCCTCAGTTGACAAAGGTCTGGCGAATTACTTGGGTTGATTTAAACAGACTAATTCAAGGTTGCGTTGGCCAGTAGAGAGTGCAATAAACGTAGTGACAACTGTGTTCGAAGGCGGGGCTTACTGAGAGTGATCCTGAGGGTAAAACGCTCCTGAGATTCT